CATGCACCTGAGCTCCCCTGTGTTGGCGCTGCCTTCCCACCAGGTGCTCAATCACTGCTTCAGGCCATGACTCAGCATTTGCACTACAGCAACCAAACATCTCTTAACTGCCTTTGGTCTCTGGTAAACTGTGTAATAGAGTAATCGGCATTTCAGTTCTACATCAACAACTTTTGAACGTGCTGTCCTTTTTTAGAGGTGTAGCAAAAATGCTGAGTAGCAAGGCAGGGCCAACCCAGGGGAGCTCAGGTGCACGCAATGCATCTGACTGATTGGAAGGGGAGGAACCAGGATCCACCCCTTCCCAGACCTGATTTAAGGGCTGGCGGTAGAGGTAGGGGCACCTCTTGTTGGAGGTTCTTGTCTAACTGAGATCTTCTAAGTCTAAGGGTAAGTCATTCTTTTCTGTTATTTCTCTACTTGCTGTACTTGGGTTTATTTCCAATAGCTATAGCCTTTGCCACTCTTCTTTTATTATCCTATTATTATCATCCCATTATAGTTGCTTTAAAAGTCATTGTTATAATTTAAATTTTGCTGCATGCGGCTTATCTCTTGTTTTGTTTACTGTGTGTTAGTTTAGTCTATCAATAGTCTATCAATTTACAAGCTGCCTCAAAATGAAGCTTCTTTAAGAAAGAAACAAGGGCCTACATGATTTCTACGCAGTCATGAAAAGAAAACTGAAAGTATTTCAGTGTGGTGCTATGCACTAAGAGGCATTAATTTGCTGTTCTGTTAGTAAGAGGAATACTCAAATACTGTGTGCTATAATGCGAAATACTACTTGAGATGTATATGGTATAAGAAAATAATATATAGAAGTCACTTTAGATAGTGAGGACTCTAGGTGAGGTAATATACAGGAAAGCATTACCTATAATGTTTTTTTGTTTTAGTTATTCAAGCTGCTGTAGGATTTGGCTATTCAAAAGCTATTGTTTTTCACTTCTGTTGTTAGACAGGAAGGATGCTCACATCAGAACTTACTGATGTATTCCTGAAGGTGAGGGCACTCAATTGGCACCATCATCTGCAGGCTCTTGGGCTGCATTTGTCTGAGTTTATCTTGCCCATGTAAAACTGTCTCAGGTGCCTTTTATGTGGATCTGTAAGCCTGGCCAGGAGCACTACATGTTGTAAGGGCTGCAGTGAATATTTGCAACTTATTTCTTCCTATGCTTTTTCATTCTGATGTGTTTTTGCTGTTTTCATGGTCTCAGCCAAAACTCTCCATTGCCTCTTGAACATTAAGGAAGCAGAGCACTTTGCATGACCAAATCATGATATGGTACCACAATTTTGCCTTTCTTTTGACAGTGACAGATGTAATAGTAGAAAGTAAAAAATGCTGTATGTGGTAAGGCTGCACTAACACAGAGGTTCCTGTGGGACATCCCAACTCAGTTTTACTTTCCTAGCTTTAAATTCTCAGTTCTTAAAACTGCAGTCATTCTTCTAGCACCCCCTAGCGCTTCTAGCAGTCCTGAAGCACAGTTATAAAGATTGTGATCTTACTTGAAATGTTTCTCCCACTTTAAAACCATTGATTTACCCCACTGTAGGAGCTTCCTAGAATGTCACATACCCCTATTCTATATTGAATTCTAATCTGTCATGTTATATTTTCTTTCAGTAAGGCAATGAAGTTCTAGTTTTCATACAGCACAAAAAAGGAATTAGGCTTCTCCACCTTAATGCAATTATAAGAGAGAATCATAGAATCATAGAATGGTTTGGGTTGGAAGGGACCTTTTAAGATCATCTGGTTGCAATCCCCTGCTCTAGGTAGGGATATGGTCCTCCAGACCAGGCTGCTTGCAGCCCCATCCAGCCTGGCCTTGGATGCTTCCAGGGAGAGAGGCATAATGAAGACGGCAAAGCATAAGTTTCTCTCCTACTCCTTACAGTCCATGAACTTATATGGGGAAAAAAGGTGTAGAAACCAGTCAATATTAGGTATATCTTCCTATGATCTTGATTTATGATAATAAGATACCTAAGATCCACTGTGAAGTTTAAGAACAGTAGATCATGTTTTGAAGTGTGCTAACTACCTCTCCTTCATGCTCAGACTTAAAAGCAGCATGCAGGCTACAAGCAGGGAGCTTTTTGTAGCAAACTCCGAGTGTTCTTAAGCACAGAGAGGCACAAAACCAGCCATCCTATTAAGGATTTGCATGACTGAAAAAAAGGGAGTTTTCAAAAAAGCAAACCTGCTGAATAGTAACTGGAGTGCAAAATTATTACTTCAAAAGCTTCTGCCTTGAACTGTATTACTGACTTCGTGCACTGAAATAGTGCAGTGGTTGGCTTGAGCAACTTCATTCTGCTGCCCAAAGTCAGGGTTGTCCACTGTACTACTAACAAGGGTTTTGGTATTGATGTAGTGAGTTTGCAAATGGAGAACAAATTCACAATCTAGACTCAGCAGGTAAAGCGAACTAGTGTTATCTGTTTAGAATGTGCCTTTGCCTGGATGGGTTTTCATGTAAACATAGAAATATGACAACATTTAGAGTTTCAGAAATGCATTTTCTCCAGTTGGTTTAAACATTTCTCACTAAATTCTGCAAGGAATTCTAAATGCAAATAGCAATTTGTTGTATCAGCTATTCTCTTGATTCACCGCAGTGCATACAATAAAACGATCTACCTTGTAGCACTTTATTCTGGAAGTCTCAGCTCCTCCTAAATAAAGCACTGAAAGCACTGCAGTCCCTAACAGAACCAAGATATTATTTTAGAAGAAACTTTAGCAAATTCCTTTGGCTTTGCGCAGACATGCCTACAAATTTCATATTCTGTATGTAAATTTGAACAAATTAGAGAACCACACAAAGGCCCCACTTCAACCAAGTGAACACAAATTAGAATGGTCAACAGCTGAGATTGATTTAGCTCCTTGCTCATTTGAAAACCACAAACCAGATACTTCTTGGCAACTCTTACTCCCAAATCTCCCCAAAATTCTAAGGAGCTGTTCTGGTTGTTTACATTTGCCTGTTTAAAGTTATCTGTGCACTGAGCCAGGTTTTTGCCTCTTTAAAAAAAAACAAAAAAAAAACATGACACTGAACTAAAAAGCCAGATGACATAGATTTAACAAAAACACACTAAAAACTTTTTACAGGAGTACCAGAGAACTTATGGCAATCACTTCAACTTGGAACACAAAAATTCTTCACATTTTTTTTTTACATGGAAACTGGGAAAATATTATCAGTGATTTCAGGAAGTGAGACCTGACCATGGGTACTGTGCACAACCTTCTAATTTAAGAGGTGAGGCTTTCAGAATCACAGAATGGCCAGGGTTGGAAGGGGCCTCAAGGATCATGAATCTCCAACCCCCCTGCCACATGCAGGGCCACCAACCTCCCCACTTAATACTAGGCCAGGCTGCCCAGGGCCCCATCCAGTCTGGCCTTGAACACTTCCAGGGACAGGGCATCCACAGCCTCTCTGGGCAGCCTGTTTCAGCACCTCACCACTCTCTCTGTAAAGAATTCCCCCCCCCCTACCAACATCCAACCTAAATCTCCCCTCCCTGAACTTAAAACCTTTTCCCCTCATCCTACTGTTACCTACCCTTTCAAAGAGTTGACTCCCCTCCTGTTTGCAGGCTCCTTTTAGGTACTGAAATGCTGCAATGAGGTCACCCCGCAGCCTTCTTTTCTCCAGGCTGAACAAG